TTTGGCACAAATTCGGCCGGATAAGGTCATTTCCAAAGAGTACAACAATGACTCAGTTTAAGAGAGAGTGATACGCAGCTATCTGTGTGTTTGAGTGTATGCAAGTGTGTGCAGAAGACATGGCACTGAGGGATGAGGCAGAAACTGTTGCTATTTATATCCTCCTTAGTAGCCATGGGGAACAGTCACCATCTGCATGGAGTGCACTGAGGTGCTGGCATTACCAAGCACAGCCTATGATAGGACAAATATCAGCCCAAATTAGCAATGAGGCTAATGAGCAGAAAACAAAGGGCTGCACAATTAGAACATAAACGATAACTGCGATTACTTAAACGGATACTTTTATTTTGATCGTTAACTGTGAAATTTCTGTAACATTTTAGTGAAGGGCAGCATTCATAAGGCTACATGATACACACATAACCTACACAAGCCTTTTACACCTTATTCCAACAAGCATTGTTCCCAAAGACTGTTTTTGTCAATTTCAGTGTCATTTAATCTCAGTAAATGTATGACAATGGACACTTGTTGGAATAAGCCTTTATGAGTGTCTATGTAGGTTCATGTCAGTTGTCAGAAAAGGCTTATATAGGTGTTGTGTAGCTATATGAACACCGTCTTTAAGTGTAACTAAAATTTGTAAAACAAATCATTACACGTATTATTCAGTCAGATCGTGAAAATTCAGAAAAGCCTAATGATTTTTGTGAAATAAAAAATTACATCTAATTTATTTGTTCATTTGTATGTAATAGAATTATCATGCTTGCTGTATGTAAACTCTGCTAGTGTTACAGTCCTTCTCTCATGTCAAATTCTTGAAATGTTAAATGGAAATTTCCCAGGAAGATACAGCCAAGTGAGCTCTCCCATTGGCTGAGACTTCGGCGGCTGGCCTGAAGGCCTAACACATCAGAATAACCATCAATATAATTAGAATGTGACAGTGTAATCAACCATGTGGGACCAATTTAGTAAGAAAAATGTTACTCTAGACCATCTGGAAGTCCAAGATGCATCACATAAATCTGATCCAAAATCTGTCCTCTAATTTACGACTCCTCTGTGAATACCAGCCCAGGTTTCAGTTAGATGTTAGAAATAAAAAACAGCAGTGGCAGCTCTGCGCCAGGGCTCTTTACTGTAGTTGTAAAGATGTAAATAAAGATCTAATAAAGATCTTTATTGGAGCAATAAAAATGTGTTATTCTTGTCAAAAACTTGTTATATCCACAAATGGATATACAGCATTTTGGAATGAAACTACTATGTTAACAAGTCTGTTACAAGCTTCAAGTCCCATAATAGCACTAGCAGAAATTAGCATTATTGTAGTTTTTGGTCCGATTGGTCAGATCACTGGAAGTGGAAATTTTTGTGGCTATGCTGCATTGTTAATTGCAGCCTTTCACAACTAACTAATTGCACAATTTCTAAATTGCAATTTCAGTTAATGTATGACTAATGGAGAACCCTAGCAAAGCACACACAGAGCCAGTACAGCACTAAATTTTAGCAGAAGGCCCATTAAAAATGCACAGTCGTTTCATGAGCTACTGATGTATATTTAAGGATCGTTAGCATCCCTTTCCCTCTGAATTTTGTAGCATCAGCGTCCATTTACTCTATGAGTTCCCTGCAATGCGCTAGCTGCAGAGCTACAACACATCTACTGCTGGACCCTTCGTTTTACGCATGGGCTATTTATACAGCAGCTGCTATTAATAGCACTGTCCCCACGGCACACGGCAGCCCTCAGCTCCCCTACTGCAGACCTGCGGCATACTCTGTTCACACACACATACACCGCCGCAGTGCTGTCTACTCCGAGAAACGAGGGAGAGGAGAAAGGACAAAAGTGAGAGAGGGAGGGAAGGAATGGAGAGAAGAAGGAAAGGAGAGGATGAGAAAGAACGTGCGAGACAGAGTCAGAAAATTATATACTGCAGGACGCAGCATCAGTCTATTTGACTAGAATCTCTCACATTTTTTTAATCTCTAGAGGGAAATGATGTAAAATATCCTACTGAGAGCACTTCATTAACCACAGGCCTCGGAGCACAGCTTCTTCCTCAGTAGATCACTCAGGGTTGGCCACGCTTCTCTATCTCCTCAATCTATCCCCTGAGGGAATGAGGTTACCTGTATTTGTAAGCACTACCACTTCTGCTCTCTGCAGGAACTGCTGCTTAGGACCTCCTGCATCAATAACAAACAAACCACCAGAGCAAAGAGCCAAGACTTGCACACCCTTACGCTGGCATGTCCGGTCTGGCATTTAACAGCCAGTAAGACACAAAGCATGAACATCAAAAAAAACATCATGGCCAGAAAATTCTAAAGTTCACTTTAAAAATTATTATTGGTTTTTATTCTTGCCACATTTACTGAAGAGCGAAGTGTGTGGACCTGCTACAGTACTGTGCAAAAGTCAGAGACCACACTTCATTTATTCAATTCCCAGTCAAAACTGCCATTAAGTACAAGTCATTTCTCAGGAGGTACTGTTGAGGAGATTAAACACAAGTTCTACAATTAACTTGCGTAAGAAAGAGGAAAGTCAAAAGAAAATAGGTGGAAAAAAGAGATAGAGTTCTAAAAGTTATTAAAAGATAAAGAGAAAATAAGACTCCTATTCAGAGTCCAGATCTCAACATCACTGACTTGTAAAAAAAAATATTTCTGCATATTTCTCTGAAAAACTGAAAGCAAGTCTACCAAAAAGAATGGAAAGGCAACTGCTGAAAATCTTTAATGTTATATTTAGTTGTTGAGGCTTCTGAAATTCTGTTTTCTTTTGTTTTATTTTTTTTGAAGCTGAAAAGTTAATTTGTACTTAATGGCCATTTTGACTGGAAATTAAATAAATAAAAGGGTGGTCTCTGACTTTTGCACATCACTGTACATGCCAAATGACATCACTTGCTGGAGCCTCATACTGTTATTAATAACAATCATCATCATTATAAGGTGTGTTAGCATTTTTATTTTTATTTTTCAGTTAATGAAGATTCTCCATTGAAAATATTTTAGTGTAGAACTAGGCTTAATTCATGCCTGAGAAACGAGACAATTAACATGCAGGACTTTGATGTAGAATAGGAGGGTCTCTGTGCTGATGGAGGCATTAGCATCAAAGTAGCACCTTCCAGGATCAGAACTTCACTAATGCACCTCTCTAAGTCTCAAAATAGTTTAGCTTTCGTACAAGCTATCGATCTCTTTTTATTTAGAAACTAGAAACACATACGACACAATTCACCTATGTTTCTGGGGCAAACCGGACTTTCTCACCATTTTGGTGGTTGTCTGATAAAAACTCTTTTCAGTGGCTTAAGTCTTAATTCATGTCCAAGAAAACGGTCTTAAACAAAGACCAAAGGTGTTGCACTACTGATTAAAGAACCTGAGTACAGTATATAACTGTGGTCACCAAGCCTCTTTCTGGAGATCCACTTTTCTGCAGAGTTTAGTTCCAGTCTGCAATTAACATGCTGTCCCCCTTAGCATCTGATCTTAGCTGGAGCAGGTGTGACAGGTTGTGGCTGGAACTAAGCTCTATAGGAGGGCAGATCTCCAGGACCAGATTTGGTGACCACATAATAATTTTACCAGTCATTCAGTCAGTCATGTTTTTTTATTCAGTGTAGGACCCACTGCTTCCCTGTATTTGCACAGTCACATAGGATACAGGATATTCTGGTCCTACCATAAACCCAATAAAAACTGGTTCAAACATCTGGTTTGTGAGTTAAATGTAAAATCCTGTGTTTGTATACAAGTGTTAAACTGGCCTTGTTAATGCTGCAGGTCAGGCAGGCTGTTATACAAAAATCCACTGAATCTAGGACGCTTCTTCCATGTGGAAGCGAGCCCAGCGAAAGAAAACAGTGAGTCGTTGCCTGCTTCATTCTGCCATCTAGTGGCACCAATGAAAACATGCAGGAGATTTCCAGCAGGTCTTTGCCAATTTAAATTTAAGGGTCACTCTACAGAAACATCCATTTTTGTGCCCTAGCATTTACAGATATATTACACTTGAAAAACAAGTTAGGACAATTAGTTACAATTTATTTATATTTTAAAATAAAACAATACATTATTTTACCAATTACACCTTCTTGAGCCATCAATTTAGCAATATTGTTTTTTAAATCAATTATCTAGAATTCCAAGCACCACAGAAGTACTCGTCCCCACAGTCAAGGGGTGAATGTAAAGGGTGAGTGCCATATTTTGAGGTAAAAACATGTTTTTCTGCAATTTTAACTGCAATCATCTATACATGACTATGATATATATGATTTAAATGACAAAGAAAACAAATGCCAAATAAATATTATAAAATGCATAATGAAAGTTGTTGTCCCCAGGAGCTTTTAGTGGACGTCACTGGTATGACCTACTTTATTCTTAGGTAACTGTGAAAAAATAGAATACAAATGGATTACATGCATTTCTCATTAAAAATGTCACTGGAGTTATTGTCTCTGGTGTTACCTTTCTTACGTGCAACACCAACGAGGCTTGGTAACACCAGTGACACCTATAGATAGATAGAAAAGTGGACGTTTCTGTAGAACGACATTGTAAAAGCGTACATATACACACACACACACACACACACACACACACACACACACACATATATATATATATATATATATATATATATATATATATATATATATGTGTGTGTGTGTGTGTGTACAAATATATATGTATATATGTATGTATATATATGTATATATATATATATATATATATATATATATATATATATATATATATATATATATATTTGCAAATCATATACATATATATACAGCATGTTAAAGGATTATACTATGAAGAGGGTGAAAAAGAAAAAAAAGAAAGAGAAATGTTTTACATTGACAGGAAAGGCGTTTGCTCTGGGAGAGAGGAAATTCCTGCCTGTTTTCAATTTTCTTTCTTTACAAGACACGTTCTTGGTCGTTGTGCCAGCACAACACTTTCAGTTTCGGTTTGAAACAGACTGCACCGTCACTGCGCAGCACCACAGCAGGAGTTCTGAGTGCTGACAGTGTGAGATTCTGTTTGCTTCTGTCTTCATCCAGTTCTCTGTCATCAGGATATTCAGCCTCCGGTAAGTGTTTTATTTGAGGATGCTTTTAAAAACATCCATACATAACCATGTTTGGCGTTCGTTGTATTCTATTGAAGATCTTTCAGTAAACGCGTTGTGTAGTTTCGTCTTTGGAGTAAAAAACTGAACAAGTGAAACTGAACTGCAACCTGTGGGAATTTTTCGCCATTGGCCGCTGCTTTAGGCCGCATTTAATTCCTTCTTTTTGTAGCGTCAACAGTTAAACATTCTCGCAAGGATGGCTATCTTACTTGAACAGCTGTTTTTTAGGGAACACGCCTGTCGAAAACGTTACACCCCAGCCACTCGAGGGGGCGGTCATCTCGCTAGAGGCTTCATCCTGAGGGCGACCCCGATACATAATCCACATTCCCTGGCACTAACTAACACGAACAACATGAGCACAAAACTTAAACTAACAAATAATAACCATAAACAACATAAACAAGTCCTTTTCTTGGAAGACGCGCGCTACCATGAGCGTGAGGTTATCTGCCTAGCCACACCTCCAGAGTCTCAGCTCCAGTGCCAGCCAGCAGCACAATGCTACTTTATTGTTGTTATAGAAAAATAATGTAATATTAAAAACAAGGTTATGTATGTCTTAAACAGATGTTTGATATTCCCCATGGAACCCTTGCATTGTGTCTTTGATCTTTGATAAACAACTGCATCTTTTCAACAATGCTGTCAACCTTAAATGTATTTAAAATGATTAATGGCAGTGTGCAATACATCATGACTCTTAACAGCAATGGAAATCTCTGTTACGGTTCGGCCACTGAAAAAAGAGTAATGTATTACCTTTGGAAACATTTCAGAGCATATATCCACAAAACAGCCCTAACCTGCTTTTGTAATGTTGCAAACTTTCAGAAAGCATATAACCCTGACCAGGGCCAGAGTATAGACTTACACTACAAGAATCAACCCATAGACAAAGCAACCTCAGTTCTGGTAGGGACCACTTTCTAACTCAGTAAAACATCATTGTGAGTATAAAATTTAGACCTCTTGAAGTGTTTAGAGCAGATATTAAAACTGAAAAGTGATTTAGGCCCTACATGACCATAGTTCAACCAGTCTGGTCTAATCTATAACCAGGCCAACCCATACTCAGGAGGCCTGGCAAAGGAAGGGGTGCTGAAAAAGGAAATTTATTTAGTTTTAAGCAAAAACTTACACAGGAATACCCAAGAACACAATATACACAAAGATTCACAGGAAGGTCACAGTGAGATAAGATTTGCAAGAAGTTCATAGGAATCATCCTTATGTAAGCACCTAAGCATAGCATTAGTTAGAATGCTATGAGACAAATATGTTCTTTTACAATTTAGAATATGTATGAAGACTACTTTGTTAGGAAGTATGAAAGTGTTGTTACATATTTAGGTTGACTTGATAAAGCCAATTTACAGTTTTCTTCATTTTAAACTTATTATTCTACACTGAAAAATGTAAACACTTTCTCCTCCTGCAGCTTTGGAGCTAGAATCAAACTTTGCACAGTTCTAGATCCTATATCCAAATAGTGTGCTGGTGGTTTCTGAACTAATCGAACTTACAGTTTTGGTACAGTGTTTAAATACATATTTTTACATAGCAACAACCTAGCAACATCCCAGCAATCACCTTACATACCCTAGCAACCACTTAGCAACACCTTAGCAACCAGCTATCAATCATCATAGTAGTGACCTGGGAATCACCTAATAACTGCAAAGTAAATTCATACCAACTACCTGGAATACCATAGCAACCAACTAGCACCCTAGCAACTACCTGGAATTACTATATAAATCCAGTAAAGATCGAAGTATTAAAAACAGTCTAATATATTCTAAACAGTCTAACAGTAGTTATCCAAAACTGCTTTAACATTTTATGTATTTTTATCTGGTTTTGTCAAGCCACCTAAATGTTTGTTCACAAACTTTCCCCTTCTAGATTAATTAGGACCTTTAGAGAAAAGCCAAGATACCTTTGATGTGTTTGTCAGATATAGTATTTGGAGAGAGAGAGAGAGAGTGTGTTTGAGAGAGAGAGAGAGAAATATAATATTTGATGAATTAAAGAGGCCATAGAAGGTCAGAAGGAGGCAGTTCAGCTGAAATGGGTGGGAGGCTAAGAATGTGGGAATGGGAGGACACTGTTGTAGATGCCTCTGGGAAATTTCATCAGAATTAAACATTACTGTCATTAACTTCTCTAAAATGACTCTGTGCTTTGAACTTCATTTGAGTGCAAAAATTGTGATGGACCAATAGAAATGCTCCAAAATTGCTTGGAATTAAATCTTTGTATACTTATATTAGTAGTACTTTTTTGTCTTCTCCTGAAAAGTGTATATATCGGCCTGGCAGCAGGGGGCAGAAAAGAGAGGAGTAAAGCCTAGACTGAATTTGTATCTGTATCTGTGTTCATGAGAGTGCAAAACACCAAAGCTAATCTTGGATTTAAACTAATTGAATGTTGATGATTGCTTATTAACTGTTTTCAGAAATGTGTGAACATCTAACACACAAAAACCAAAGTTGGAGCTCAGTATCCCAACCCTCTATTCTAGACACTCAAATCTGGTCCTGTTTTTGTCCCTCAGTAATTTACAGGAATTTAATTATCTAGCTACTACCACTCCTGGGTAAAGGAAGAGAGGAAAAGCTGCAGTACCTCGCCCTTGAAGACTGTGAGTGTGAGTATTCCTGTCCCACATAAATGCTGAAACATATTTATGCACCATTTACCCACAGAATATCTCATCTTATTAATGATAAACACAGAAATCTCCCTCAGTAATCACAAGAGCATTACACTAATGTAGGCTGTGCTGATAAAAAAAAAAAAGAAAACATGAAGTGTTTCTGTAGGTTCCGGATGGTTTTGTAATGTGGTTTGGCTTTTTTATTGGGTTGAAATCACAGTGTAAAGGATCCGTTTGACAGGTGACCAAGGGCATGTGAACATAAGTGCATATGTGTACATGTGTGTATATGTATGTGAATAACTCCTGATTCAGTCCAGTTCCTGATTCATCTAAGGCCACTGCTGTTTTCCTTATATGGACCATTACACCAGGTTTGACCATATTAGCCCCATTTTAAGGTCAATCCATTGGCTGCCATTTAAATTACGCATTGATTACAAAATACTGCTTTTTATCCTATAAAGCTCTAAAATTGTCCATCACCTCAGAATATGTATGAAACATTATCATCACATACACGTTACAGTCAAGTGTATATTCTTTATTAGTACTTTAAATTAGAAAAAATACAGCAAATCTGTTTGTTTAGTCATAGCTAAAGCTCTAAATAGCTCTTATCTTCACATAAAGATGCATATCTGGGGGTTCATGGACCTAAAATGAATGCTGTTGTTTGTTAATTACACATTGTCTGCTATGCTGATAGTGAAGTGAAAGGTTTTCTTGATACTCCAATATCTATCTACCTTCTGGTTCCCCTTCATAATTAAGTTGTTATAGCTAGGTCTGCTGGAGTCTCTGCTTGCACTATAATTATCATACACACCCTGTATTAAATAATATGTTCTCCAAACACTACTAACAATCTATTGTGTCTGTTTGTCAAGTTGTATGTGTGGTCCTACAGCCTGATATGATCTGGATCCTGCTACGGTTCCTCCTGCCCTCTGGACCTGCCTGACCACATGGGAGTCATTTACATGTGCCATTCACCCTCTTGCTGTAATAAAAAGCCTCACATGGATGCTTCAGAAACTTGTATTAAAAAATCTACTCTCCTATCCATCATAATAATCTGTCATCATTTGTATTTAGCTTCTTGTAATTAACTTGTATTAACTCATCACCTGCCTTTTAAACTTGCTGTCTGCTCATATTGGCCCTTATTCATCAAAGTTATATAAAAAAGAGTGCAGATTTGACCGGCTTTGATGACATATAAACTACTCAGCATCTTATTAATGAAATTATCATGTGGAAACAAGCAGAGATTTGAGTGCAAATGATGAATCAGCTTCAGTGCGTGAAATCAAGCACAAGCTTACCTGTACAGATACGCCAAAGACGAAACTCATGAATAAGAAAACTGAAAAATCTGCATGTGTTCATTTCACAATCAGAATAGACTTTTCAGCTTCAATAAATAAAGATCACTGAGTTTGTAATCTACCATATTATCATATTCAACATCATGTATATGTCTGAAACAATCAGTATTATAACAGACTTTTATTTCCTGTTCATTGGCTGATGTAACCCAGCTTACCAGTGTGCCTCTGTTTAATCACACTTACACTCCTTCAACTTATTATCACTATCCAAAGAAAATAGTGTATCTCCAGCACAGTAACATTACAGGAGAAGGCAAAAACATTCTGAACTTTTTATGTAAGTTAATGTAAAGAGAATTTATCACAAGTGATTTTGGAGCATTTCTATTCATCCATTTATCATTACATTTTCACACAGTGTAAAGGACAAGTGCCGTGTTCAAATGATGTAGAAAAAAAAAATGGAGACAAAAATGGAGATACATGTTTTTCTTTGGACGGCGATGTTATACTTCTTGTATTGTATCATAGCACCACTATCAGGCGTGGCCCAAGGTTCCCCTTTTGAGTCTTAGTTCCTCTCACTGTTTCTTCCTTATGATCTTAGGGAGTTTTCACTTAGACTGTTGCCACTGCTTGCACATTAGGGCACAAATAAAACTGAATTTAATTGAATGGAATTGTTATTCACTGTCACGCTTCTTCACAGAACAAAATTACTGAAAACTGCAACAGGTGCTGAATTATGGGCTCCAACTACCACTAATTGATGGAAACCCCAAAAATGCATTAATGCATTTGCATGGATTAATGCAAAAATGCATGGAGAAATTTCGTACAAACTTTCATAAAACTATTTTTGGCAACACTCAAACCCTCCTACATGACGTAGACGCAACCATGCCATAAATATGTCGGGGGGGTGTCTTATCCTGTCATGAGTTGTCAGGACAGATTATATCAAGTAATCAAGTAGAATCATAGTGTCATGTTACCAATAACGCATACCATTATGGCATGTTTATGTCAGTGTTATGGAGCAGGGTTCAAGTAAAGTGTCCCTCAATTCTCTTCAACATGCTGGTGCTTCAGGGGTTATATATATATAATAATATGCTTATCTTAAGAAAGTTAGCTGGGCGCCCCTCTGGGTTTGTGTAGTTCATATGAAGAGGCTCATGTCAGAGGCACTTCCTGCAAGCTTGCCTCGAGCTCAAAAGCAATGGCCCCTCAGTTTCACTCTGTGATTTCAGTTCATCTAAATATTACTGGGTGACATAAATTAGAAAGTAGAGTGAACTAGAACACTGTAGATTTCAGTGTGTAAGCTAAAATCTGAACATTGTTCCTTCTTTATATTTGGGTCAAGATTAAGACAGACCTTCCTTCTTCTTACTTGCTTGCCATCACTAACATGACTAGAGAACAGTGCTGAGAGGTTAATAAGTATTGCTCAGTAACATGCTGATACATTTGGATAAGGAAGTTGTTGACTGTCATTATTATTATTATTATTATTATTATTATTATTATTATTATTATCATAATAATAACAGTATAGTTTCACACAAAATAATTGCATACAAAATTGGGCATGATGTTTTGATTGTTGATATTATTTGTGAACGCTTTATACCAAGACATGAATTAATATTGCAAAGACACATTGTACTGCATACATTATATATCTGTATGCCATGAAAGGTCATTAAATTGTTTTGCTGACTAGAGTTTGCTTGTACATGTAAAGCATGTTGCCATTTAAAAGTGAAGGAAAATTCATAGGAGCTGCTTTCCAGACCTTCTAAGACTCATCATGTTCAAAAAAGGACAGCTGAACCATTCAGTTTCAAGAGGTTCAAGAAGGTGTTAGAGATGTAAGAAAAAATCTTAATGGCTTTGTTTTCTACACAAGTAGTGTAATGACTATCAATATAAACAAATCATAATTTTCATAGGCTTAGAATTTCTTCTCAAAGATCACTTTGAATTCTTAGGGGGATAAATCAGAACAGAAACAAAACATAGCACATACAAAAAAAAGGAATAAAAGAAGTGTGGCTTGCAGAGGAATTCAAGCTATTTCTCAACACTTTCTTATAAATAAATGGTTGAGATGTAAACAAAGTCATTCAGAGTGGTTTGGTGTGAAATGCTCTGTTCTAGAGAAACTTGCCAACTCATAATTGTTCACAGTGACAGGAACCAGACCTCACTGGAAGTTACATCACTGGAAGTTATTACACAAAATGGTTAAAAATATGCTGCCTGAATTTTTACCTAGTTTTGGCTTAGTTTTGAGAAAGTTTTGGACTAAATTGTGTTTTTTTAAAACAAAGTCCACACAGAGTGTTGTATTACAAAATAGTTCCCAAAGAAAACTCATTTTTTCAGATTCACCGCTATTTTGTCATTATCAACATTACATCTAAAAAATAAATAAATAAAATACATTTATTGTAAATAAAATGTCTATATTTGCATTGCCACCTTTGGTTCTTATCCTGTCTATTGTGTTGAAGTTTCACACCAGACCACTCTGAGTGTTTTCTTTTACGTCTCAGCAACTGAATTATTTAGCAACTGAATTTTAAAATTGGTGGAATTCCCCTTTAATCTGTTTTGTTACAGTTTGAAGGCGTATGTAGTTTTTCTCTTTCACTTCTCTGTGACCCTGCCCTCCCCTGTATGTCACAGGACAGACATTTTCCTCTGCTGCTTTTCTGTCAGATGGGCTGTACTTTACCATCTTTGATGTTCGCAACTGTTTTCTCTGGCAGGAAGTTGTCTGGTTCACATCAACGCCCATGACAGAACCATCTTGCTAGGGTGCTGAATTTCAACATCTGTAAGTAAGGAAATAGAATTTAATGTATTTCTTTCTTATTTTTTTATGTACTTTGTATAAGTGCTAATTTTTGATGCTGACATTTGCCATTGAGTTAAGATTTCAGTTTACTTTTACAATTTTTTTTACTTTTTTGTATCTATAGATAGTATAGTAGCTCATGGGTTCATTTTGTCAGGCTACAGTTATCATGTCTTTGGTTTTTATTTAAACAAATTAATTTTTTTTGTCAATGTTACCACAAGAGGCTTTGAAATGCTGCTTGTTTGCTAACTTAATAAAACGTTTAGTCATTTGGATTTAACCCACACTCAGATCTGTGTAACAAAGCACTTTGTTACTCAGTGAACTCTCAGACCCCAGAAAGAAAGATGTAAGATGGCATTTTAGTATATTTAATCAACTTAATATTTAATTGTGCATATTCAGCCATTTGTCCACTTTAAACTGAGCCTACAGGGTCAAGAAAGACACTCATGCTTTTGGTGGATTGTTGATCAGGTCTGTGTAAGAGGAAGGAAGTCTACACACGACTCTCTCTGTGGACTTACTTTACTATAAAGCAATGTAGGCCTTATGCGCTGACAAGCCAACCTTTTATGGCAGTCTCACCTCCGTTTCTCACATTCTGAGCGCTGCGCCAGTGAACTTAAGTTCATCATCACTCTTTCTTCACACATTTTGCGCATTGCAAACCTACCCTAGCCTTAAAGGGGATTTCCATCACTTTTAGTAGCATGATTTACACGGCACATCTCATTGTCATGCCACGTTTTTTACAGCTACTTATTTTAAAGCCACAATTTAAATTTCTCAAATGTGAAACAAATCTTTCTCATTTGCTCAACACGCTGCATGTTGCAAACACCCTCTGATGACAGGATTACAAAAGTGCATTTTTATAAACCTATTTGCTTCTTGATAACATTAACAGGACAGCGTAATTTAACCGCACAGGTACAAAACAATGCATGCATCCTTTGTTAAAAGGGATTTCCACATTTTTTTTACATTTGTACTGGACAACTAAATCATTAAAATGTAAACAAAGTCATTCAGAGGGGTTCGAAGTGAGATGCTCCAGCTTACCAAGTCATAATTGTTCACAGTGGTGCTGATAGGAACCAGACATCAGAAGGGTTTAATAGATCTGAAAGCTCCCTCACAGAAAGTTCCCTGCAGTGGTTATGAATACGCTGCCTTATGTCTGATTCATTGTTTTATGTTAAGTTTGTGGTTTTAAAATGTATTTTTTTAAATAATGCAGGATGTTGTAAGGCAAAATACTCCCCAAAGAAACCTTATTTTCAGATTTATCACTTTTTTGCCATTATCAACATCACATATACAAACTTGTGTAGGATACGTGTAGATTCACTAGTTGTTTTAGATAGTAAATGAAACGGATATAGTTGTGTTGTATCGTGACCCTGGTTCCTATCACCGAAACTGTAAAGAAATCAATAATATAAAGAAGCTTCTCTACAATGAACCATTTCACATCAGACCACTCTGAATTGCTTACATCTCAAAAATTATGTTTAAAAAAAGTTTTAAAAAATTAAATTATATTGGACATTAGGAACCTGGGGGTGCATTAGAAAACATCTTATGAAACATCCTAACTCTGAAATCTTGTCTAGCTCCAGCAATGTCCTAACTTCTGTTTTAACCTTTCATTGCTATTGTTTGCCATTCTACTGAAAATATAATTAAATTACACTGAGTTCATTTTTAATAAAGTACTTTTACTTTGCTACTTTAATTTTTAATTACTGTTAGAGAATAAAAAAAAATTATGAGTATGTCAGCTCATAAACCAATTAGAAAAAAAAGTGCAGTTAAATTTAAAAGATTCGGTTCTGAAAGTAAAACAAAAACACAGCAGCTCCCAGCCACTAAAACACTTCAGCCCTGGTGTGTTCACATCAGGTTTAGTGGAGACAGAGAGAGGAGAACTTTACCAGCACAGGTGAGGAACATCACTTTATCCAAAAAGTCATCTTCATTTACTTTTAATGAACTAAAGAAAACTGTGTTATGGTCAGGAGCTAAATCTGCCTCCCCAAACTTGTAGACATTTTCACTTTTCACAACTCAACTTCAGCCTGAGGAAGCAGCATAGCAACTGTGTTTGCTATTTTTTTTCTTATTTTGTTGTTTTAGAATAAAACAGTGGCTGTTTATTAATTTTAAAATGTATTGCGTAAATTGTATTGCAAGTACCTGTTCACTACTTTGGTTAACATTGGTGTCAGTCCACACAGTTTGCCCATATAAAATTTGGTTCTGTTGCAATTATGGAGTTAAATGGCCATATAAGGATGAGATTCAGGAAATGTAGTCTAACACAGGTTCTCTGTAATCTTTGCACATTAATTCATTTCTTTTGTGCCCAGATTTGCTTTTGACATTGTTTTTTTTAGATTGACTGGTCTAAACACTAGTCTGATCAGAGTGGTGGAATATGAAGCTTATTTATCACATGCATGTTGTACACGAACAAAACACAGATCACATCACATTAATAACAATAATATATATCTCAGTCCACTGCTCCATATATGTCTCTTTCACTCTCTGCCCCCATGCCTTTGTGTTTGTCTTTAACTGTGTGCAAGGCTGTTTATCTGTTTAACTGTCAAGTAGAGTAAAAATAAATGTCTGATTGTGTATGAACTAATTAGTACGATTACCAGATGAATGTATCACAGTAGAGAAAAACAGAACTGGATAAACTGCTGCTGTTGTTAATGATTTCAATGGTAGAAGTGTACTATACATGTATTAGTTAATTTACACAGTTTGGAGGCCATAATGTTTACTGTCTCTAGAGGTTCACACCTAAAATTCACAGAGCCCATGGGCAGCAGGGCTGTCACTGAAAATTACACTATTAGTTGAGTAATGTGCCTGTTAAGACTCACAGTTAAGCAATCTGTTTTTTTTAAAGGCCAAACAAAAAAACAGACTTACTCTTTGCAGAGCTTTTGAGGCATATCAAACTGTTTTTTTGGAAACAGATAAACTAGGAAGCCTTGTATAATGATCTTACCATGAAATGCATGTAGTTTAATGTAAACGTTGTTCCTTACACAGAAAAGTGCACTGTGATCAGTCTCAGTTTTTCTCATTTAATATCTTGTATTGTTTTAGTTTTGTTTATACAGATTACTATGCAAAAATACAATAAACATAACTTTATTACTTAAGTGCTTCGTCCAATAAACTACTTATTTATTCTTACTTAAATACTTGCCTTTATTAATACTTTGACTTTTACTCAAGTAAATTGAGTGATTGATGATTGAGTTTTGCAAGCTATTTACGTCGAGACCTCTTGTGCTTCAGCTACACAATGAAAGCAGTTAAAGCCACAATGTTAGCAGGGCTCACATGAGCTAATGTCAAGCTAACACTGATTAACCTCATCAAACACAGACACAGCTATTACTCATTTTTGCAACCATGACAAATGATGGTGTAGTTGATGGTAATGACAGAATATTGCTGACTCTTCCACAGGCCAAACAATGATATGATTGTAGTGATGTGTATAATTTTAAACCCAGCGATGTGTGCATTAAAGCAGTTTTAGGGTAATTTTAGATGTCTGGACATGTCTTCATATGTATAATTAGGAGTCACAGATAACATATTGATTTGGTACGGATGAACATCTCTGATCAAACTGACTTTTTCTTAGTATTTTGCTTTGGAAGCCTCTGACTGCTCACAAACATTATGCTGACAATGTCAACAATATGGCTACAGGATACTTTTTCCAGGTTTTACAAGGCAGGGAGGCACCCAGTCATGTCCAAATAAAATATTTGTATAAAACGCTGCCTGCTGAGGTTCCTCAGTTCAGCCATTTTTTGAAGGCAACCTTGGCCATCTTACATATCCCATACATATCCCAAAATCCACTTTGTGAGCACTGATGCAATTAGGACAAAAATAGCAAAAAACACCAGCATGGACACAGTGGAGGAGAGAGACTTGTTTGTGTGCAAATAGAATACTTTTTATTTTGGTTCTAAAAAGTTCAGTATGCTAGCCTTCTTAAAAGACTTTTTTTCTTCATTAAAGATGCTAAAGTCTTATACTAACAGGTAGCAGTGAGCTGTTGGATCTTGGCAATGGTGTGACGTATCACTGCCTTAAGAGCGTGTTGCAGGCACCTTCCTCACAATGTTTCCTTCTACGGCGCTGACATATAAGACAGCACAGGCAGCAAGACATCAAGACAGCTACTCAGTTTTGGACAACCAAGCTAACAGTTTCCTAAATTGAGATAAGATGTAATGGCTAAATTAAGATCCGTAATACGAATTTGTTAAAAATTTATCTTGGCCTTACCAGATCTTAACTTAGGACTAAAGATAGTAAGTTTCTATTGTTGAAAATGGGAGAATGTTATAAATTCCAAGTATAGTAAGACTATTGAAAGTCATTAAGCAACAAGGACACAGTGCCACTGATGCAAAGCACCAGCATGTAGTACCTGAGTAGTATTTCTTTGTTTGGTTTGGTTTGTTTGTTTTTTGCCAGTGGACTTTACCATAACCCAGCTGACTTATGTAGGTTGAAGAGAATAATATGAGAAAGTGAAACTCTAAATTCATTCTTGTAATGTCAGATGATACTTACTGCAATTTAAAATGTGTTTAAATGTTAAAACGAACATTTATTTAAGTTCTACGTAGAAATATATTTAGTCAATAATAAAATGATGTTTTTAACATTCTCTTCTAAACTGTTGAAGAAAGACATTTTTGTCCTGTTTTGTGGCTATGGTTTTTGTATGATTAGATGAGCTGTCAATAACTAAACATCATACCGACAGCATCATGGTCATGGGCAAAAGGGGCTAAGAAAGTAGGCAGATTAACAGATGGACTACAGTCTATAATGTAGAACCACAAAGTGCACCTATATGGTGAATGGAGCTGATAAAATGGATGATGAGTGTAGATACAAGGAGGTGGACCTAATGAAGTGGCTGGTTGTACATGCAACACAGAGTGAAGAGGTTCTGTAAATTACCTTGCCCTTAGTAGCCTTGGACTTTTGTCTAGACCAGCCCACTACAACCTCAGCGCCCAACCATTTATTCACACACTGAGAATGCCATATCTAGACTAACGTGTCTAGATATGTACACTCCAGTATTCGACCGGCACATGCCATTTGTCTTTGGCAATCCCCATGAATTTTATATAGGACTACATTAGAATGTATTTCTCTCTTTATCACACTCAGCAGCCCATTGGGAATTCTCACTAGAGAGCAAGTAGATCACATGGCTTGGTTAACTTCCATCACCAGCACTACTGATAAAACGAGATACACCTACAAGTAATACTTGGCTTCCTCGGGGAGAGGTTTGGGAATGATTAAGCAAACACATTGACATACATAAAAACACTACTTACTATATTAATGTTATTTGTATTAATTCTAATATTAGGGCTTTTCTGTGCAATTAAACACACATTATCCAGTTAAATAGCTTTTTAAGGTACCTAATACTTTTTCACAGTACTGTAATGAAATGTAACATCAATGTTTAATTTATAACACTTCACTTATGTATCTATGTTTGTATTTATAGCAGAAGCTTCTTCCTTCCTGTCTGTACATGTAGGGCAAAGTTGTGCAGTTTCCTAACAATGGTGGACTCATGCACATTGGCACTGTCTGAGACAGGATTAGCCCATTTGGTTACTGCAGCATCTTTCGATCAACTCTTGTGCTGAATTAGTTGGAATGACCGGTCCTGGACAGATTGCCAGTGATATGAAATTTTCTCCATTTGTAGATGACAGTGTAGTTCTGATTAGTGGACTGACTGACTAAAAGTTGCTTGAAAATTTATCAAGCTCTTTAGATCTTAACATGATGTAGCCACACCTTAATTGCTAAGACCGCACCAAACAGTTTCTGATGTTTCTATAAAGCAGCAGCCTCCAATGTACTCTCTTAAGGCATTCTAATCAATTGCACCTGCTTTGATGCACATGATCCTCATTTGATTCAAGGAAATTACACATTTATCTATTTAAATGGTGTGCTAGTGCTGTATGTGATTTTGTTCAATTAGTATCCATTTTTTTAGTCTTGTTGAAATTGTAAGCAAATTCTTTGGGTGTTTGTACTCTTTCACAGCAATTGTGACAAGTAAAAGGAATCAGAGCCACAGTAATGAAACCAATTCTTTGTGGACTGTGCCTTGTTTGGGAACTGGAAGCTTTATATTAATTTGAATGAACGAACATTACATTAGCAAAGTGTTGTAGTTCATTAGATCAACAGCCATTACCTATAAAACTATTGTCTGTCTTTCATTAGGGAATGCATCGGGCAGTGAGTTTACAGATCCTTCTCCTGCTGTTATGTGGAGGACATGGTAAGATTTTAATGGACAGAATCAGGTCACTGACTATGAAGTAGAATTAATTTATTTTCCTGCAAAATATCATTTTAAAACTTCATTCTATAAGCTGTACTGTAGGCTAATATATTATGGCTGTCCAAAGAAAAACGTGTTTCCAAAATAGTAACTTTACAGGAGAGGACAAAAACATGTTTTACTTTCAATGTAATTTAACGTAAAGATATTTTATTCCAAGCAAATCTGTAGCATTTCTATTGGTCAAATTATCATAAAAGTTTCACAGAACATGAAGGGAAGTAAGTATCCAAAAAAAATGGAGATACATGTTTTTCTTTGGACAGCGACAATATGTGAATGCTTATGCATGTTAAAACTAAAGCATGAGACTAAAGTGGCTAAGCAAGTTATAAGCAAGTATATCGCAGCTGTCAAAAGAAAACCGAAGAAAAAAACACACTTCACTTTTAATGTAAGTCAACAGAACCAGACTTCATTCCAAGTAATTCTGGGTCATTTCTTTTGGTCCATTCATCACAAAATTTACACACAATGTAAAGAGCAACAGGCATTTTCAAAATATGTCAAAAACTGAAAAATGACAAAAAAGTATATATATATTTATATATACTTATGATTTATGATCTTGAAAACAGCACATTATATGATTGAGTTTGATTTTACTTTCTATATCTAATATCTGTTCTTGCCCCAGTCCACTCCGAGGATGAATGTATTAAAGCATCAGTAGCTACTTGTGATGCCTGCATTAAGTCTGGGCCAGGCTGCGTCTGGTGCCAAGACTTGGTAAGTACTGCTCTGCTGAGTGTTAAAGTTGCAACTTTATTTTGTTTTTGTTGGGAGATAGATGCAAATATAGTTTAGGTTGAGGCAAGGCATTTGTGAATGAAATGTGCTATATAGGTAAACCTGACTTGCCTTGCCTCAACCTAAACTATATTTGCATCTACCTACCAACTCATGCATTCAGTCTGATACATGCTGAAGACATCAAAATGATCAAGCTAGTGACCACTAAGCTGAGGAACTTTTTTCTCCCACAGAATTTCACCAAGCGTGGGGAGTTGGAAGCTGTACGATGTGACACCCTGAGCGAGATTCTCAAAAGAGGCTGCCCAAGGAGCAAGATAGTCAACCCACCCAATGACCAGCGCAAAATTAGAGACAAACCTCTGTCTGAAGGCAAACAGGGAAATAGTCCTGTCCAGATACAGCCACAAGAGATCTATCTTGAGCTAAGACCAGGTATGCTAGCTTAAAATAAAAGAATTTTAAATGGTGGAATGCAGGGCTAAAATATGTGCATTTTATTTATTGCACTGTACTTGTAACTCAAATGTTACATTTCTCTGTAACGTTGATCCAGGAAGATCTAGTCCCTATTTCTACATTTTATACATGTTTATGTATCGGCATCAGATGACAACATCAGCCCATAACTCCAATATAGATGCAACCCTAATTTACATATATCCACTTATTCAGCCTACAGCACAGCCTACAATAATTTATGGGCAGAAATTTCTACAGCAATTTACTGTTTGTTTACAGTAGTCATACTGTATTATACAATTACAATTCTTTGCTGTATTTCTAAATGCAGTTTCTCATTGTATTTGTACAGCTTTTCCCTGCACTCTTGTGTTTAAAATGTACAGCTTGTATGTGCTCTAATATGAACCCACTGTCAGGGGACCTGTAGTGCAACAATACAACAGAGTGTTTTTCAATCACACCATAAACTGAACATTATTTTATAGCAGTTACTGCCCTTATACCTGTCATTAAGACTACAAAGATGGCAGTAACAATATATCTATTAATTATAACATTACAGGAAGAAAAGGGTAACTGAAGAACAAAACACCAACCTGGGTGGACTACCAAAACATGTAAAATACACTCAAAAAATAATAAATGAACTGTAGATGATTATATAAAAGCAAATAAACAAAAACTGTAACAAAAATCAAGAAAAAGCCTATTTGCAATTTGGTATGATTATTAAACCCCATACGGACACCCATGCCCTGCTGAGTTTTATTTATTTATTTTTTATTTAAAGTATTAAAGAGTAAATACTTAAAATCTTGTTTTCTCAGGTAAACCCCACACTTTTGAGTTCAAGTTTAAAAGGGCCGAAGGTTACCCTGTTGATCTGTACTACCTGATGGATCTGTCCTACTCAATGAATGATGATTTGAAGAATGTGAAAAACCTGGGAATAGAACTACTTAAGAATCTGAAAAAAATCACTGGATCTGCAAGAATAGGTGAGGACATGTGACAAAGACATTCAAATGAAAAGCATTTGTTCTAACCCAGTGGTGACAGGACGCACTAATCCACTTCATTCATGCAGGCTTTGGGTCATTTGTCGATAAGACCCTTCTTCCTTTTACGGACACAAACGAAGAGAAGCTCCAAAAGCCCTGTCCACGGGAAGAAACTCAGTGTGAGCCGGCATTTGGTTATAAGCATGTGCTCAGTCTGACAGATGATGGAGAAAGTTTCCGAAAAATGGTCTCTCTGCAGCGCATATCTGGCAACCTGGACACACCAGAGGGAAGTCTGGATGCCATCATGCAAGCTGTCACTTGTGTGGTGAGTCGTTATGCATAATAATGTGCCTGGAAGCAAAATGAAAGATATGAAAATGAAAGTTATATTCATGGAGCATATTTTATTCATATGCACACTTGAATCATGAGCCTTTTTTAATGTTGTTTTTGCACTATAGCATATAATGAGCCCATCATATACACAGTGATGTTGACACCCAGTAACTCTGGGATCTTTTGCAAAAATGTGCAGGATGAGATTGGCTGGGGGAATAGCACACGTCTGCTGGTGCTGGCCACTGACGCTGGCTTCCACATGGCAGGGGATGGAAAGCTTGCTGGCATTCTAGAACCCAACCAAGAGTACTGTCAGCTGGACAAAAAAAACATGTACATAAAGAGCAACCTGTGGGTATGTGTCACTTAGTAGAAGATAAAGATGGAATAATTACAGTAATCTTTAAATGGATGATTCTTATATAGGAGGTTTTGTCTAATATCAGCTGAAATCTCTCTGTCAGGACTACCCATCTGTTGGTCAGATAGCGAGAAAGCTGGAGGAAAAAAACATTCAGCCAATTTTTGCTGTCACTGAGAAAGTGGCAGATGTTTACAGAGTGAGTAGAATTATTATTGGTTTATGCTAAACTTTACTAAAATGGACTAATAGAGAATTGGGAACTAAGTTCAGGGGTGGAAAACGTAGAGAGAAACTCTGAAAGTAAGAGTAATTTGTCAAAGCTTTACTCATTTTATTTTTGCATATCTTCTTAAATTCTCCTTTAAAGGCTCTTGCATATAACATGAGACCTGTATGTTTCATATCAAATTCATATCAAAATTCTCTGATATCTTTGGCTACGTTTACACAGCAGGTAGAAGTGGCCCAGATCTGATTTTCTCACCAAATCCGATTTTTTTTTTTGTTGCGACAATAGTCTGAACAGATCAGCTCCTAAACCGACCCGCATGCGCAAAAGAACAGTGCTTCACGTGGCGGCTGGTCCCGAGGTAAACAGTCATGACGGCCAGCGAACGCCAGTCGCTCCCGGAGCTTTCAGTTTCGTCTTCGCCATCATCACAGGAGCGAGTATAAAGTTCCAGTGGTTGACAGCTGGACTCATCACCCACAGTGTGTTCGAGTTCGCCGTAAAAAGGGCTCGTTATTCGGCCACTCCTTTGGTTCGAGACCTCGGATTCTTTAAACTGTTCTCTGACGCTGCAGCCTCGGGCTCGTTTGAACACGGAGCGGTTTGACGAGTCTCTTCTAATGTTTTGGTACAGAAACATCAGACTAAATATTTATGAGTCTCAGCAGCGCGAAATTATGACGAATGTCGAGTTGTACTGACGTAAAAGACGCATGAATTCCGATCTGGCTGTTCAGACAGAGTCGCATTGCCGCAGATCGGGTACGTATCGGATTTCAGTACCACTTATGAAAGCGTCTCAAATCGGAATTGAAAATGTCAGATTCAGTGCGTTTTTTGAACACATCTGTGTCACATTTGAGGAAAAATATCGGATTTGGGCCACTTTTACTTGCTGTGTAAACGTAGCCTTTGTTCCTCAGCAGCGACAGATGTATTTGTCAAACAAGCACCAAATAACACTGTTTCCTTTTCTAGGAGCTGAGCCAACTCATTCCAAAATCTGAGGTTGGAGTGCTGAGTAATGATTCAAGCAACGTTGTAAAGCTTATTGTGGATGCGTACAATGTAGGTTTTTTATATATATATGTTTTTTACACAAATACATTAAATAAGAAACTTATTTGTAGTATGCAGTGGCATGCAACTGTAACATTAATTTGTGTGATATTAGTAACACCAGTAACATTTACTTGAGTGAACACTATGCACAAAATGATACAGTGAGGAGTTTATCCAAAAGTAATTTGGTTGTTTTTTTTTTTTTTTTACAGAAACTGTCCTCCAACATTATTGTGACCCATGATAACCTCCCAAATGATATAACTGTGACATACACGGACTGTGAAGGAAAGAAGGAGCATAGTGATAAGGGAACTTGCAATAATGTCAACATTGGAAAAGAGGTAGGCACATTACACACAGCACAGACACCATTACTATTAAGAAACTCCTTATTTGATTTAATGAAATGGCATTCTAATTTAATCTATTGCTATGTTAAAAGATTTAAATATTTCAGAACTTCAGCAATGAATGTATAATAATGTGTTACTACACTTCAAGTGAAAGCTATTAATTACTAGATATCAATATAAACTTATTGATACTCCTATTACAGAACAGTTTTCCAGCCTTCTTTTATGTTTTTAAATACCTTTTTTGGTGGGTAGGAGGGAGGGTTGAAGGGCTGGTTAAAGACTGAATAAACTAATCTAGCTTTAATTGTTAATTTGTGATTGGGTTCCTAAAAGAAAAAAAAAAAATTTAAATTATTTTTTTATTGCAAGGTGATCTTGGGTTTCTTCAAAGGCACAGTAAAATGTATTATTTATTATTATTAATGTTACCATGCTAAGCAATTCACACAACAATTCAAAATGTAATGATAGTAAGAGAAAAAAAAAAAAAACTCATTCATTACATTATATTCACCCAAAATTCTTATGGAAATTCGTATGGTCATATGAAAATGTTTGAACACCCCTGGATAACTTACATTTTTATTACAATGAACTGTTTATTTGCTGAATTACACATGTAATTTGACCAGGGGTGCACAGACTGTATTAGCCACCAATAATTGGTGAAATACAGTTTTTGCTAAACTACTGCTAAAAACCAACACTATAAAAATGTATGTGGCATTATAAAAAAAAAAGGTGTATCGTCACTGTCTGACAAAAATATTGTACGTCCAAAATGGTGACATTTCAGAAAAAGGAAGAAACATTCTTAACTATAAACGATTTCAAAATCATGTGTTGGTCCATTCCTCATGAAATCTTAATACAACATAAAAAATAAGACAAATTGTGTGAAAAAATGAAAAGCTTGAAACATAAACATCATAAAAATATATCTGCATATCATGCTTAGGGTTATTGCTATGACTATGATTTGTTCTCCAGGTGACTTTCTCAGTGACAGTGAAAGCACTGACATGCACAGATGAAAAGACCTTCAACATTGGACCTTTGGGCTTCAATGAAAAACTAACTGTTCGTGTCAAAACACGATGTGAGTGTGAGTGTGACAATGAGCGAAACACCCAGCATGAGCACTGTAATAAACAGGGCAGTGTTGTCTGTGGCACCTGCAGGTACAGCACGATCACCACCTGTTGCTCATTTGATATTTTATCCTTCCAATATACAATAAAAATGAACAGCACAGTTTATCTGTGATAATTTTTTTGTTCATAGATGCAATCCAGGCTACCTGGGACAGAGGTGTGAGTGCAGTTTGGGCAAGAAGGATGAGGCCGCACTGAAAGCACAGTGCCGTAAAGACAATGGCACTGAGTGTGAAGGCCGTGGAGACTGTGAGTGTGGGGTGTGTAAGTGTCACCTGACTGAGGCAGGAAACTCGTACTATGGCCCTCACTGTGAATGTGATGACGAACACTGCGAGAAGTACCAGAACAAGCTGTGTGGAGGTAAAACACATACATACACATAGACAAAATGCTGTAGACAGAGCTTTATAGATACGCTCATGCTGGTTTCATGAACTCTCAGGTAACGGCGACTGCAAGTGTGGCGAATGCAAGTGCAAAGATGGCTTCGAGGGAACAGCCTGTCAGTGCAAGAAATCAAATGATGGTTGCCTCACCAGAAGCGGAAGTGAGTGCCATGGACGTGGCAAATGTATGTGCAATCAGTGTTCTTGCGAGAGAGGGTACAAGGGACCCAAATGCGAGACCTGTCATACTTGCTCCGTGCCATGCCAAAAGTCTGGGTAAGTGAAACATTGAATGATTAATTTATTGATGACTAAAGGGCCCACATCATGCATTTATTATTTTTTTTCTGAATTCAACGTATATGGGCCCTTTAAAATACAACCCAATTCCTGTAATGCTATGTAAAATGTAAATAAATGTAAATAAAAACAGAATGCAATGATTTGCAAATCTCATAGACCCATATTTTATTCACAATAGAACATAGAACACATATTGATGTTGAAAGTGAGACATTTTACAATTTCATGAATCATGAATCTAAATCACTGTGAACACAATTCACTGTGCAATCCACAAATATTAAGTTAAAGTTGTATCATGCAAAGAAGAAGCCATATGTCAACATGATCCAGAAACACCGCCATCTCCTCTGGGTCAAAGCTAATTTAAAATGGAGCGAGGCAAAATGGAAAACTGTTCTGTGGTCAGATGAATCAAAATTTGAAATTCTTCATGCTGTGTCCTGCGGGCGCAACAGGAGAGGGACCATCAAGCTTGTTATCAGCACGCAGTATGAGGTTGCGTTAATGCCTATGGCATGGGCAGCATATACATGGAAGGCACTATCAATACTGAATGGTATATAGAGGTTTTAGAACAACATATGCTCCCATCTAGACAACGTCTCTTTCAGGGAAGGCCTTGCATATTTCAGCAAGACTATGCTAAAACCAATTAGTGCATTCATCACAACAGCATGGCTTTGCAGAAGAAGAGTCCGGGTGCTGAACTGGCCTGCCTGCAGTCCAGACATTTCAATAGAAAACAGTTGGCACATCATGAAACGAAAAATCCGGCAAAGAAGATCCAGGACTGTTGAGCAGCTAGAATCCTACATAAGGCAAGAATGGGACAACATTCCTCTCCCAAAACTCCAGCAATTGGTCTCCTCACTTCCCAGACATTTACAGACTGTTGTTAACAGAAGAGGGGATGCTACACAAAAGAAGACATGACCCTGTCCCAACTTTTTGCAATGCAGTGCTGCCATCAAGTTCTAAATGAGTTCATATTTTTCATGAAGTGGTAAAATGTCTCACTTTCAACATCTATGTTCTATGTTCTTTTGTGAATAAAATATGGCTCTATGAGTTTTGCAAATCATTGCATTTTGTTTTTATTTACATTTATTTACATTTTACATAGCGTCCTTCAATTTTATCTGCTGAACAATTTACTTTTCACTTTTTATATACTTGAGTATGTTTAAATGTACATACTGTTTGACCTACACTCAAGTATATTTTTGACTCTGTACTTTCACTTTTAATTTTACTATTTTAATACTGATACTTTCACTTTAGCACAGTTTCTTTGTACATTTCCAACCCCTGAGTAATGTCATCATTATATGCTGATATTCACATCCCTATGCTACACATCAGGAGCTGTATTGAATGCCTGGGCTTTGGGTCGGGACCTTTCCAGAAGAACTGCACAGAATCCTGCTCCCATCTTAAGGCTGAAACAGAGGAGAAACTACTGAAAAGTGACTGTCGAGTCAAAGACCATGAGGGCTGCTGGATGTCCTTCACAATGACTGAACAAGATGGATTTGACAAGTATAATGTCAAAATCCTCAAAACCAGAGGTAAGGGTGAGAAAGATATAGGCTATAGACTATATATAAACAGAATATACCATGTGGGAAGACGAGCACTGATGCCCACTCCAAATTGATAGCTTTGTTATCAACTTTCACACAATTTAAATGATAAGCACCACTTAACATTTTGCAATGTGACTTTCACAATGCAAATTCTGTGTTTCTGTGTCTTAGGCAATAAATAAACATAAGTTACTGTGCAAAAGTCAGAGACCCTTCATTTCTTTAATTTCCAGTCAATATGGCCATTAAGTACAAGTTATTTACTTTTCATTATCAGGAAAAAAGCATAAAACATATGTTTAAGTGAAATTAACACAGAAACCTCCAAAACTAACACAACTTCATTTTTTAATATTTAGTGTGTCCACTCTTTGCCTTCATTACAGCTTTTTGGGAGTTTTTCAAAGAATTCTGCAGCCAGTTCAGTCTTAGAAGTCGGTTACATTTTCTGCTCACATGGTCCAAATAATCCCAAACACATTGAGTGAAGTTCTAGACTCTGGACTTTCTCAGTACGAGCTTCTTGACGGCTACACATCCTTTCAGAATCATAGACAGCAATAAGTTGTCTTTTCACAGTGAAAGCATGGACAGAAATACCTGTGGATTTTTTCAGATCTGAAGAAAGAGTGGAGCTTGATTTTTTTAGTCTTGTTACTGGTGCCATTTTCTCTTTAAAAATATTATTCTTTTAATAATATTTCAAACTCTTGTTTTTTGGTTTTTTTTTGTACTTATTTTCCTTTGACATTCTTCTTCTTTCTGCATATGGATCATCTTACATCTCCTTAGAAATATCTCCTGAAGAATTAATAACTTGTACTTACTAGTCTATGCTGCTTGGAAGGTATATGTGCTGAGAATTGGCATTTCATAATCTATATGCATCTCATGTGTTAGAATGTCCTGAGGGGCCAAATGTAGGAGCCATCGTCGGTGGATCTTTGGCTGGTGTGGCACTGATTGGACTTCTGATCCTTCTCCTCATCAAGGGTCTCATTTATGTAAAAGACCTCAAAGAGTGGAAGAGGTTCGAAAAGGAGCAGCAGCGCCGCAAATGGGCAGATGTATGTGTTGTTTATTCTGGATATAATAATCCTTTATTATACATGATTCAAAACTAACAGATTTCTGAAATGTAACAACACCATACTGAACTGCACATGTGCTATGGAAATACTGATCTGAATGAATAGTGTTAGCTCTAAATCAGGAATTGTGCTTCACGTTGAGTTCTGTTCTCTTTACAGGGTGAAAATCCACTGTTCCAAAAAGCAACAACTACTGTTGCAAATCCAACATTTACTGGAGACTCGTAAGGCAACAGTGGAGCACTGGAGGAAAACTGTTTCACATCAAGCTTACTGTAAATGAATGCAGTGTGTGCTGTAACAGATTACCAGTACAGTCCTCAAGGACCTCCAGCCAGTCCACATGTTTGTACCATCCTCTCAGCTGACTAATCAGAGCTCTACATGAACACCTGAGCCAAGTAATTAGCATTGTGTAGCTCACGATTGCCTTGAGGACTGGATTCAGAAACTCTGCTCTAGGGATTTACAAGTATTTTTGAATTGTATTTTGCTAACGTTTCTTTTTACGTTTTCCTAGATTTTTTAAGTTTGTAAACATTTAACTACTAAAACGCCACTCTGCATTGAACCTATATTGCACATAGTATTATTGTTAAGAATGTTGTTTGTGTACTCACATGTGTTTGCTATTACTGGAAAATACAATTATGTACAATATAAATAAAAACATGTCCCACATAACACACCGTTGAAGTTGCAGACATTTTTTTTAAACCTCTTAAATCTAACCACTCTCATAATACACAACATACATATTAGTTTACAGCTGTTATTGAATAATTATTAGTAGTTACTGGATAATAAGTTGCAAGATTATTAATAAATACTATCCCTGCTGCTAACAGGGTTAATTCGGGGTGTTGTTGACCAAGCAATGAAGAACTATTTATTATGCTATATTTAATGGCTATTGTTTTTATTGTCAAGACAATGTCATTTTATCTAACATAAATTTTGATCCAAATATTGATATTGATATTGATTTTTCTTAGTTAGATATCAAATGTAATGCATTATTTTCAAAAAGGAAATTATACACTGAAAAACTGTATGTCACTATCAAAACAAATATGTCAATACTAAACAGACAAAATTTATTTTGGTAAGAACATATTTGTTTCCAAGCTAATTTTGCACTTACCTATAAATTTTCTCCTTAGATTTTATAAGAGAATTAATGTGTTCAGTTGTGACACCATTTAAAAAATTAATTTTCATGACAAATGAACCAATAGAAATGGTCCAAAATTACTTATTATACATTGAGAGTGAAGAATGTTTTTTCGTTCTCCTGCAAAGTTACTTTTATGGAGATATGAGGTTTTTTTCTGACAGCGACAGTATGTTTATTAGGGAGGGACAGCATTTTGAACCTCTTCTGTAGAATGACCCATATAATAGTTTGCAGGGGATCCTAAAAAAGCGCTGAAGGTCAGGCGACTTCTGTAGCATATAAAAGTCATGGGATAAATACTTTTGGAAATACATTCTTCACAGTTAGCCAGATCAGTGTTTAGGGCAAAAAAGACTAAAAAAAAAAGGTTTTGCTTTGAATTTGCTTGATTCAAATGTGTGCACTGATTCCACATTGATGAGATATATTCCATCAACACAATTATTGCCAGACATAAGTAAAATGAAAGAAATTAATTGTGTTGAAGTTAATATACATGTTTAAATGAAGTCAACCCAAAGCAGCAAATTCATATTTCAGTGCACAAAAACAGAGGCATGGAGCTAATGGATGCTGAGGATTACATAAGAGAGAGGCGGGTGAGGGTCGCTGGGGCGATGGTGGGCAAAGCTTGGCCACTTGGAACCCTGCACTCTCCCTCTCTCTCTCTCCCCAGGCAGAGCTGGTTAATGAGTGTGGGGATCAGAAGAGGTGCAGCAGAGTGCAGGAGGCTGAAGTTCAGGGAGTGAAACAGCCTGATGTCCTGCTACCAAGGAGACACATACACACATACGCACAGTGCCAGAGGCAGGTAGGAACATTACTCTTGTACTTACACTGCTGTAGGTAGAAGTTAAAGGCTTTTGGACCTTTTGTTAAACTAGATAAAACAGATGGCTTTGCTGGAGCACTGATGGAAGTCTGTGTAGGTCTGAATCATTTTCAGGTTGTGATTTCATAAGCTTTAGTGCTAAAACCTCAGAAGGGTGTGCATATGTGACTGTGGCAGGGTCAGAGGTTGCCAAGTACCTTGCCAGTCGTAAATTAGAGGCCTCATCCTGAACTTTCATATGCAGCTCTCATAAGCAACGTTCCTCACAAGGGCTCCAGTGTTGAATTGCTGCATGAGTTAAGGCGAACAAAAGTTGAGGCCATTAGACCGTTCTAAGAGAGCCTGTACAGTGAGCCAATGTACAGCTAACAAACAAGCCCACTTTGGAGAGTCTGTTTTTCACTCTGAAGCTCCAGTCTCTTCTCTGTCGCACGATCAGTCTGGAAGCTGCTACTGAATTCCCAAATCTGTAGAATTGAGTAAAGTAGTGTCAGTTATCTATTCCTTAAACCATTGGAATTTAGAAAAATAAATGCCTTGACTAATTTGAGCTGAAATATAAACATTTAAAATTAAGGAACGACACCTCAAATGAGTCAAGGCCATCATTTTAAAGGGCCCATAACATGAAAAAACTAAATTTCCCTCACTTTAAAGAGCTTGATATAGTATGTAAAAACTGCTAAAATTGTTCAAAATGCATTGTTCACTTCCCAGTCAATGTATGCAAACTGAGCTTCAAAAACAAACCATTTTGAATTCATCATTTTTGTGATGTCACAACTCACATATTTACATATGTCAGTCTATTCAGCCTACAGCAGTTTAGCCCTGCCTGTTCACACTGCAGTTACATAAAGTGTTTCAGCACTGACTGCTTTTTGAGCAAAGGCAGCCAATTTCATTTCTGTAGCTAAAGCTCATTTACATATATCAGTCTTAAAGGCACAGTTACAAAACAGCCTGCTTAAGAGCTGTTGGAAAATGGACATGTATAGGACACGGGCCCTTTATAATAGTTGCTTAAGCAGTCTCTTTGGAAGTGTAATACATAAGTGGAAATATCAAAAAGTATGTTAGAAACTGACAAATTTTTATTAAGAGAGGGGGCAAAATCTGAGCTGCACGTTATATAAATAATATTATACTAACCATTTGTATAATGGATATTTTAGTACTATTTTATTCCAGTGCTTAAATCATTCTTTTAAAGGGATCTGATTGCCTAAAATCACAGAAATCCCATAGGGAATCAGTGCATTCCTGTCTGATTTTAGCCTTTTTGAAGCTGAAACTCAGGAAGACCTTTTCTGGCCTCATTGTTGGGCATTAAACCTTTAAACTCTGTGCTTATTATTCAGTAATTAATACTGAGGCTTACTATTCAACAACTACTGGTAGTGGGCAGTATGGTCAAAAATTTATATCATGGTATAATTAAGATTACTGATGGTTTCTGTATAAATCACGGAATAGTGTATTTATGTACATTTTTCAAATAAAACCTTTTTGTATGCTTAAGTAAACCATTTTTGTAGATTAACAGTGACGCATTATTCTGGATGTGAAAACAATATATGTCAATCAATATATAGACAGATGTTAATATTGTTTTCTAACCGTAACGAGATAAAGGTGAATGTATGTAAAGCCCACAGTGGCTCCTCTGTGCCAAATGTTGTTTTACATTCTAAAATCATTTTTCATTACACTCAAGTTTTAACCAGACGCTGTCGGAATTTAGTAAATATCACAAGTTAAAACTATCAGTTTTAGCTGAGAAGCTGCGGAAGGCAGTGTTGGCTGAAGTAGCTGACTGAGTAAGGAGCGCTGCCTGCGGAAAGCAAGCTGATCTCCATGCTAGGCTAATGGCTACCAGCTAAGCCCAAGAGACTGGCTTTTCCTTCCGCTCTCTTTAACTCATTACGATTCTGCTCCTTTGACAATAAACTGGACTAACGTAGTTCAGGCTGTAATTCACTACATGAGAGGTAAGGGAATCAGCATGTTTTGCACCATTTATATGTCGCATTATCTGCATTTCTTTGCTCAGTGGTATAATGACAAAACTAATAACTTATCTTTGCCGGCAGAAAGAAGAATTTCAGCCGGCATACTGGATGAACCAGTATATCGCCACTACTAGCAACTACTATAAATAATTAAGTAACTACTGCGAAACCAATATAAAGTACATAGTTAGAGAGTGAGGAGGGGAACTCTGGACCTGGATACACTTTGGCCGGATTCCATTTACATTTTTCACTAAAATGTGTTGCCAGCATGACAAAACGAGAACTGATTTAACTTTTTTACATAAAAAGTATTTTTAACACACACTTCATTTACATTTTTTAACTCCAGCCTTGTATATCCTCCATCTTTCCTTTCACTGTTTATTCTTTCACTTGCTAGTCAGCGCTTAGCAGACACATTCCCACTTACATACAGTGCTGTGAAAAAGCATTTGCTCCTTTCCAATTTCATGTTTCATCTGGCATAAAGCTAACACCACCATAAGAACATCATACCAACAGTCAAACATGGTGGTGATGGTCTGGGGCTGCTTTGCTTCTGCAGGACCTGGATGATGTCACAATTGATTGAACCATGAATTCTGCTCTCTATCAGAAAATCCTGAAGGAGAATGTCCACCTGTCAGTTTGTGACCTAACTGAGCTCAAGCACAGTTGGGTTATGCAACAGAACAATGATCCAAAGCACAAAAGAATGGCTCAAAAGAAACAAAATGAAGCTTTTGGAGTGGTTAAGTCAAAGTCCTGAGTTGAATCCTATTGAAATGTTGTGACCTTAAACGGGCAGCCTGTGCTAGAAAACACTCCAATGTAGCCAAATCAAAACAATTCTGCAAAGAACACTGGGCCAAAAATTCCTCTACAGCGATGGAAAAGACTCATCGCAAGTTATCGCAAGCGTTTGATTGCAGTTATTGCTGCTCAGGGTGCTACAACCAGTTATTAGGTTTTGAGGGGCAATTATTTTTTCACATGGGTGCCCGTTTAAGGTCACAACATTTCAATGGGATTTAACTCAGGTTTTGAACAAATCTTTTTTCAGTGACTGGAACGATTATTTAAAAGCTACATTTGGTGTTTACTCATGTTGCCTTTATCTTAAATTAAAATTAGATGATCTGAAACAATTATATGTGACAAATTAGCAAAAATAGAGGAAAGTGGTGAGTGGGGGCAATTTTTTTCACAGCACTGTAATTGCATAAGGATAATGAAAACACATTCCGTTTATTGTGTTAAATGTGGTCAAGATCCAGCTCTGACCACCCAAACGTGGTTTGAGCGATCCAATCATATTCCCTTCACAATGTGTCCTGGAGGTGTTTACACCGGCTTTTCATTCAATCAAGTGAAATCTGAATGTGATCTGATCACCTAAAACACACAATAAACAGTGTAAAGAGGCCCTAGAATTCTTGGTCTTAAATTCAGTCCATTTCTGTTTAGTTGTACATGAGCAGGACTATTTCTATCAGTCATTGCCACAAATCAGCTTCACAGCAATTCGGGTCCAGGCCACTAATAAAAAAGCCATCAGTCATAGATAAAGCTCTCTAAGATGATGAGGAAGAAACACTGAAAAAAAACAAGACTCAAATGAGGACTGGACTGCACATAGTATGCATTTACAACTAAAAAGAAAAA